CACGGATACAGCGTCTCTTGCACTGCGATTCGGTCTCTGACTGCGCTTTCGAGCAGGAGGAAGCAACAGCCTTAGAGGAGGACTGAAGCCATCTGTTGAAAAATGAGGCAGCAGAAGAGACGGCAGGAGATCCTATTTCTGAATGCTCCCCTAAAGGAAGGCAAACAGGAAAAACCCAACCGCCCCTGCAAGCAGAAAGCTAGCCTGACAGGGAGTAAACTGGGCTAGAATGGCTAATCTTGATAGACTAGTTAAAAAAAAAAAAAAAAGCTTGCAGGGTGGTTTTCACATGGATAATTTTAAAAAGTGCAAGTATATGAGTGCCAGAGTATTCGCACTAGACGAGGATGAACAGAGCTGAAATCCCTGTGGCATGACCTTGAGCAAGTAACTCATTCGCTTTGTCAGCATAATCTACTCCCAACCCAGGACTGCTGTGCAGATAAATCCAGATAATGCCATTCTTAGTGCCTTGCAAGGAAGACTGGAATGCCAATCTCATGACAAAGCTGCCACTGCAGAGAAGCAACATCCAGGAAGGGATTGGGGCCTAAGCGCAAACTAAGGGCACAACCTTATGCCTGTTTAGAAGCTGTGCGACTTTTTCCTGTCTAAACATGCCCAGGACTGCACCCACTTTGCCAAAACAGCCACTAATTTTACAGCTCTATTTATACGCATCCTTTCCTCCAAAGAGACCAAGACGGTTCACACTGCTCTCGCCCTGCTCTCCACAGGATCCCCAGGAAAACTCTGCACGGAAAGTGGGGCTCAAAGAGGAGGGCTGTCCCCAGAGTGCAGCGGGATTGAACCCAGGCCTTCCCCCGCCTGGTCTGAGCCTCCCAACCGGCCTGGCTAGGAGGGCTGGGGCTGAAGCCCAAGCACACGGGAAAGCTCTGGGACACTTGATCTGTTTGCTTGCACCAGCCGTACAGTGTGAAATCGGGCAGCCCAGCGGGAGCCAAGACGTGCAGAGCCGCCGGTGGCGGTGGCCGTCCTCAGCGCTGTGCCCTGGCCCCTGAATTGTGCCTTGCAGTGCATGTGGGAATGGAGCGCGTCGAGCCCACCTGGTTAGCACAGCCGGGTCAGTGCACAGAGTGGCTGCAGCCCATTTTATATTGTTTATATTATTTATTTTATATTGTGAATTGTTAATTTTTATATTGTTATTTTTGTATTTTATTGTATTTTATTGTGTTGTAAGCCGCCCCGAGGCTTCGGCAAGGGGCGGCATAGAAATGTTTTAATAAATAAATAATAAATAAATTTTAAGAACCGAGAAAAAGTCATGACCCCAAGGGGGTTGGCGGCGGGGGGGGGGGGGCAGTAAGCCAGGTTAAGGCCTCCACCAGTGAACCAAGGCCCCGTGCAGGAAGCCCGGCTCAGCCTGGCAGGCTGCCCTCGGCCTTGAAGTGGTGGGCCAGGTGCTTTTTTCACGTTATCGCCAGTGCTCCAAAGTCCTTGCCGTGCCTGTGGCACGCGGATAATGCTGAGCACGGCTTTTTCTGCAGATTCCAGCACATTGGTTCTGTTACCTTTGAGCTGACCCAGATTATTGTGCTGTAGGCCAGAGCTGCAATTTGTACTAGCTCAGGATGTGGCCATGTTACAGGCTCATGTTGTTATTATTCCTCCTCATCCCAGATATTCCCGTTTACGGCACACGCCTTTGCTTCTCTACTTAAAAGCAGTTCCCACAGAGTGTGGCGGGGATTGTTCCCAGGTATGGAATGGCAGCCTTCTGCTAGAAGGATCTTGTCTTTCAAAGCGAAGATTGGAATAAAAGGAAGAAAAAAATCTACCAAAAGTCTCTACCAGACTTCCTCAAGCTGGTGCCCTCAAGATGTGCTGAACTACAACTCCCATCATCCCCATGGAGCACATGGGATAGGAGATCACTAAGGTTGTAGTGCAACACATCTAGAGGATCCCCAGGTTAGGGAAAGCTGGTCTTATCAGCCTGAAAAACTAAGTTGCAAAATCAAGATGCCAGCCTGGAATGGCTAGCAGAAGGATTTCTTTTACATTAAAGCATCCAGGAACTACTTAGAAGAATAAAATAGTTCCACCTCGGCCCCCAGAGGGCAATGGAGTCAGCAATAAGCTGCGTTCTAATGCACAGAGATGGCACCAGTTCAGAAGATGCTCGGACAGAATGGTCGGGCGGCAGGGGGAACTATGGGAGTTCAACTATCCTGTGCAAAGGCGATACCCGGTGTTCTCTCTCGTTTTGTTTCGACCTACCTCACAAACCTGTCCCCGTTGGACGGAGAACATTGCTGTGCTCACAAGTTGTGAGTGGAGATGTGAAGGTAGGTTTCCCCTGCCTGACAGTACAGCGCTGCTTGGGGTCTCAGAAGGGAAAATCAGTGCTCCGGTTTGGCTGGTAAATGGAGTGGAAGCCAGCGGAGCGCTTGCAGGCCGGCATGGTGCGCTCGGAGTGCCCGATTCCAGGAGCAAGCGAGCCTCCTGGGCTGCAACCAGCTGGAATTTCCTGAGCGTTCTTCAAAGGGCGTTCCCATGCGCAACATAACCGAAACTTATGCATGTCATTAGCTGACTGGTACCTGTGGCTAAACTATTTCTTTTCCCAAGATGGGCCCCAGCTAGCACACAAGACCTTGGAGCCACACCTGCTGTGGGTCTAAAATAAATGAGTGAATGAACAGCTGTCCAAGCTGCAAACCTTTCATTCCTCTTAAAGGGGAACGCAATTTCACTCAGAGAGAGAACAGCGTTTCACCTAACCCGCCCTCTTCTCTCTTGTTGGGATTTGCCTTCAGTTTACGACTTCACCAAGCAGGAACTGAGCACTTCTGCCTTTTCTTTTGTCATCTGCGATCATTTTGGCAGAATGCAGCCCTCAGGACGAGAGAGGTTCAACGCCCTGCTTTAGGACATTCAAAACAGATGTCCAAGCAGCCTTGGTCTTCGTGGTCACAGGCCTGGCCATTCCAGTCGGCCACTGCCAGAAGAAAAATGCTGTTTTGCACTGCTCGCATGTTACATTGCCAGCAAGTATAGAGCAGAGAAGAATATGAGCAGAACACCTGTGCCAAGCTACACCGAGGCACAGGGAGCTGCAGCATAAGAAAAGCCCCGCTAAGCATATTTTAGGAACCGCCCATGAGCTGAACTGGGGCAAAACAGTACCTTTCCTTTCAGGCCCTGTAGAGCGAGCGGCTCTGAACTGCTCTGATCGATACAGAATATAAATTATGAAATGACGAACCTGGGATTGCATGCATCTTTTCCCTGGCAGCAACACCCAAGCCTTGATGCAGTTTCAGCTTTGTGAAAAATAACTTCTTAGACTTGAGTGCTGCAAAGGAGGTCCCTCAAGAGGGGCCGAAGGGAATCTTGCGCAAGATATTGAGGTAGGGAACAGGTTCTGTGAGATCTGTCACTGCCCCTCCCGGGACGTCTAGGTCTTGCCTCGATGACTGCCCCAGTTCCTACCCTGTTTTCTTCCATTCCCGGGATGGGAAGCCACTTCTAGCCTGAGGGCCACATTCCGCTTTGGAGAAGCTCTTGGGGGTTGCATTCTGGTGGTGTCTGGGCACATAGGCCAAAGGGTCGGGGTCAAAAACACTAGCGCAGGCTGTGTGGAGCCCCCAGAAGGGAGGGCAGACCTTCAAAGAGAAGCTGCATGATGAGGGTAGGCAGCCTGGTGCCCTCCAGACAATTCTAATCACTACTCTTATCAGCCCCAGCTACCAAGGAGTATGGAAGTTCTAGTCCAGCATTTCCGGAAGGAGCTGGGGAGCCCCATAGTATGGGGGTATTTTTTCCTGTCCTCCATCTTCCCTTTGGCGCTAGACTTTCCTTAATTCCTCCAAGGCCCAGTAGAAGCAGTTGGCCACACACACACACACACACACACACACACACACACACACACACTCTGAAAAGATGCCAGGGCACATCTGGCCTGCTGCTCTCGGCTTGGAAGCTATGCCAGCTCTGTCCAGCTGTTCGAGGCCAAGGAAAGGCTGCTTCCCCGAACCCTACATGTTCATGTCCTGTGCAGCTGGGGAAAGCCAGCTTGCTAAAACCCCACTGGTTTTATCTCCTTTCTATCTACGGCCTCTCTTGGACTACTGGTGCACCATCTGGCAGTCGCTGGCAAGCACCACGAAAACAGAGGAAGTGCCTACACAGCGCCTGGCAGAACAGCGCCAGGTGCTTAGAAGGCCACAAGCTTCAATCCCAGGTAGAAGATTCTCAAGCAGCAGATTTGGGGAGAAGGTTTCTCTCTCTGTCCTGTTCCTGGAAATGTCACAGAGCTGCTCTTAGCCAGGCGGTCTGCAAAGTAAGGGCAACTTTCCCCAACTGGAGGCCCTCCCACCTGATGTTTGGACCACAGCTCCCATCATGCCCGACTAAGGCCCACGCTGGGTGGTGTTGGCAGGAGTTTAAGTTCAAAGCACGGAGCCTGCCGGGTTGGGGAAGGCTACCGCAGGGGCCTGCACGAGCCAGAGGGCTGAGGGGGCATAAACAGTGAAGCCTCCAAGTCAGCGGGGTGGTGCAGACCCACCCCCGGTGAGGTTCAGCACCATGACCAGCTCCTTCAAAGGTCAGGTGGATGCCTCGGCTGGACACGCCACGCCACGCCGGCACTGGAACTACCAGCCAGGGCAGGGCGGAAAGGCAGCATCACGCAAAGGCGAGGAGGAGAGGGCAGCTGCAGCCAGCCATCGTCCGACTGAGGGAGATAAAATAAGGAAGTGTCCTTGGGAAAGACTCGGTCCAGGTCAGCATCACAGCCCTCTGGCACCCTCTGGAGGTCCTGCTCTGAAAAGCACTAGATCAGGCACAGGAAGCCCAGATGCAGGGCGGCCTGGGGTCTGGAATGGATCCCTGTTCCCTCTGGGGCCGCGGGGACCCTGGAAGAGGCAGTGCAGGGCTTGGCGGAAGCAGGCTGATGGACCCTGAGCGGGGCCGGGAGCCCGGCCCGGCCCGGCCCGGCCGGGAGCGACACCCTCAACACTAGGCCAGGCTTTGCTCAACGGCTGTTTATTCAGAAACGAGTTTTCCAATAAATTATACAGATTAAAAAAATAGAGAGGGGGAGCATGAGCACAAAGTACAGGAACCCCGGAGATACAACTGGAAAAACAAATGTGGCAAATGTGTGAAGTACGGGGAGGGGCAGGGCGAACACAACCCAGTCCTCACAGTGAGACCTCCGCCGCCTCCTCACCCCTTGCTTGAGGCGGCACTAAGTGTTCCACGGAAAGCCAGTGCTCCACAGAGGGAAAGAAGTATGCTGCATGCTCTGTCTGGCAGAACGGGGACAGATACTGAGCTGCACAAAGGAGGCGAAGGAGAGCGGCTGCAAGGGGCGCAGCCAGCCCCTTCTTAACTAGTCGCAGGGCCCTCGGGAAGAGAAAGGAGGTCCTTCCCAGGAGAGGGTGACATTTCTAGGCTCTGCATACATCAGGAGCACCAAGAGCTCCACTGGAGCGCAAGGGTGGAGACAGAGTAGTGTATCAGGAGGGTGGGTGGGGTGGTGTGGGGTGGAGTGGCGTGGGAAGAACTGGCAGCTGATCCTTGTGTACACCCGGCAACCACCGCCAACCCACCGGTCAGTCTGCCAACGTACTGGAGCAGCTTATACATGAAACGGTCAACTGGCCAGCTGCATCGAGGGGGACAGTGGCGCAGGCTGGCGCCGGGTGGAGGCAGGCCTGTGGCGACACACAGGCCCGGGCAGGAGTTGGTGGTGTGCTGGTCGGAGAACCGCCTCGGCTCAGCCGTGGCCACTGCACGGGAGGACTGAACTCCAGCCCCGCTCCTCCCCTCCCTCCCTCCCTCCCTCCCGCTCCGTCTCTGAGCTGCCCCACGAGCTGGCACAGAAGCCCGCTTGCCGGCACCTTAGTAGTCGTCTGCGCCCAGCAGGAAGCCCAGGAGGAAGCCGATGGCCCGCTGGCGGTCGTGAGGGGTCTGCTTCGAGAGGAGGTTGGGCGGTGGCCGCAGCAGAAGGCTGGCGAAGAGGGTGGCTGCAGGGGAGCAAGCATTCAGTCGGGAGACCGGGAGAAAAAGCAGGGCCGGGCGGGGGGTGGATCGGCCCGGCCCGGCCCGGCCCGGCCCAGCCGGGTGGGGCTTACCCAGCATGTTGGCACTGACGTTGTTGCTCTCGGAGTATTTCAGCAGCTCCCGCAGGAAGGCCATCACGTAGCGGAACACGTTCCGGTGGGACCGCGGCAACTGGCAGACCACCTGGGGAGAGGGTGACAGACGCCTCACTTAGAGTTGCTGCGCAATGCTGCAGAACCAAGGCCCAGACTGGCTCTTTTGGGGGTCCTAATCCAGCCCTAGAGGGTCCCCCAGACAGCATCACCCCCTTGTTCCTGGCCCCATCCAGTTTCTTTGATAGCTGATCGTTGGGGCCGCCTGGCTTTTGCGCCTTTTTCCTGCATTTTAAGAGGCTGCAGCGTCAGCAAGAGCCTCAAGCTCGGACCGACAGGCTTTTCCGGCAGGCCGGCCTCCCCCTTTGGCCCCCGCTCCTGCCCAGTGAGGGGCTGCATGCACTGCCAAAGGATACAGCCTCTGTTCCAGATGCTGAGATGCTGCTGCCAAACGAGGTGAACTGCAACAAGCATCCTTATGGCTCTTTGTGGGGGACAGAAAGCAAATTTAAGGTGTCACCTTTTGAGCTCTGGACGCTGCTGGAGTGAAGCTGGTGCACAAGTGCATCTCTGCAGCACAATCAGAAGCAGGGAGTGGCAGCCAGGGCAGGCACGAGCGGGCCAAGGGGGGAGCGCAGGGCAGGGCAGGGCAGAGCCGACGCTGCCGCGGCTCCTCTCACACCCCGCTCTCACACCCTCTGCACAACGCTTCTTTAAGCGGTGCTGGAAGCAGGATGCGCCTCCGAGGGAAGGTTGCTCCGGGGCTCACCTGCCGGCAGAGGCGGCTGTCCTGCGAGCAGTCGAGGCAGCGCTGATACAGTTCATAGCAAATGACTGGCTCTGGCAGCGCCTCCAGGAAGATGAGCAGGGCTTCGGCCACCGAGTGGTTGCTGCCAGCTTCACAGCTGCCTGTCAAGGAGGGCTCGGGACAAACCGGGCAGCGCTGTTTGGACCCCACTCGGCCCGCCAGGAAGGTTCCTCCCTTCGGCCACAGGAGCCTCCTGAAGGGGGGGATCGGGGAGCCTGGGGAGCCTGGCACATGGGGGGAAAGGGACTGGAGGTGAGGAACAACGAGCTCCGGCTGCAAGGGACCCTTCAGCAAGCTGACAGACGGGACAAGACAGGCAGAGCAGCTACAGGGGGTTGTCCATACCATCTGCTCTCCCAGACTGCAGAGCAGCTGTGAAAGCGTGGTAAGATCATCACCCGTGACTGTCATCGAATAAATATTCCGGCTTAGCCAGCACCCACAAAGCCAGGCTCCTGCTTGGAAAGCAGGTCCCTTTGTTCTCTTTGGGTCTCAGTAAGTCAGGGCCAAAGGAAGGCAGGTGCCCGATATCTTCTGAGAAAGGCCATAAGCCAGGCTTGCCCCAGCCTGGTGCCCTCCAGACCCTTTAGACTACAACTCCCAGCATTCCTGACCACTATCCTTGCTGGCTGGGGTTGATAGGAACTGAAGTCCAACACATATCTAAAGTCCTGTCTGTTGTTCTTTGCGAACTGGAGGGTAAGCTGTCCTTATGTATGGTTGAAGTTAAATCTGGACATGAGAGAGCGAGTGCAAGCTGTGTCTGCCCATAATATAACCTACCTTACAGCCTTAGTGCTGGGGTGGCTAAGGAGCCAAACCCACCCAAAAACCCCACGTGAGGCCCAGTCCCCCTGCAGCCCACTTGTTTAAGGATACGGATCGTCTCAGGAATGCTGGTGTCCAGGCATTCGATGATATCCTGCAGCTCATCCTGCATGCCAGGGGTCTGGAAAAGGTCCTCCTGCCGGAGAGGAGCAAAGCATGACACATCCTGGAGGAGCAGAGCGAGTGTGGTGTGCCCCTGGTGGCAGGCAGAGCTTCCACTGGAGCGCATAAACACACAGGCTCCACCAGGACAGGGCCCAGGAGACACCGGAGCAAAAGGAAGGGCAAAGACGGAGCCTGGCCCGACCTCATTCACTACAAATGTCCTGAAGGAATCTCAGGGTGCCTGTTCTATCAAGCTGCCCACACACCTCTCTTCCCACCCCGTCTCTTCGTCACTCTGAGCCACAGGAGAACGAAGCCATTCCTCCATTCAAGGGAGCAACGGAGAGAGTGCCTGATGGAGCTGTGCATCCCCGAGTCATTCTGGGATCCCTGCGCATGCCTTATTCTAAGATGCACGTGCAAATCTTCCCTGTGTCACCACTTTACCGACAGGCGTCGATTTAAAGGGATTTGTAAACACTAATGGCTGCCTAAAAAACGTGAAGAGGGGGACAGCCCTCCAACTGTCCTCAGCCACCCCCCCACGAGGATATGTTGATTCCAGCAATGCCCCCGCATCTCTGAAAGAGCAAACGCCCCTGCACCTGATGGCAGGCATTCTTGAAGAGGTGGTCCACCAGGATCCAGATCTCCTTGGGTATGTGCAAAGGCCGCTCGCCAGAGTCGTCGCTCTCAGTGGGCACCATCTCCAAAAGCGATTTCTCCTGCGGCCCAAACAGACGAGCGAGGCTGACACAAGAGCCTTCGTGTGCAGGCCCTTGCTTACGCCCACGGATAGCACAACAGGGGTTCACAATAGAGTGATATGCAGCTAGTCTCTCTCTCTCTCTCTCTCTCTCTCTCTCTCTCTCTCTCTCTCTCTCTCTCACACACACACACACACACACACACACACACACACACCTTCCTTGCTTAGACAGCTTAGAAGAAAACCATAACTGCTGCCTTGAACATGCTTTGAGGGGAGCAGAGGGGGCAGCGGGGTGCTGGGAGCTGCTGCCGGCACCCCATGGCCTGGTGGGTGTAGTCGGGCGACAACTCCCATCAGCCTTGGCCACCATTCCCATGGCGAGGGGTGGTGGTAGCTGGAAGGCCACAAGTTCACCCCACCACATCCTCTCTGACCAGCAGAATCGCCTGCAGTAGCTTCCATTATTTATTTGTTTACGTAATTATTTGTAAGTATTCTAAACACTCCTACACTGCCTTTTGGCTCTTACGAAAGACCTCAAAAGCAGTTTACAACACAAGGCCAAGTCCAAAATAATATCAAACAGAATTAAGCCACTCCCGCTCCTCCCTGCTGTCCTTTGGTGTGGTCCACCTGCATCTCAAGCCAGCGTTTTCAGACAAAGAAGGGAGGGTAGGAGGGAGGAGAGAGAGAGAGATACTTGCTCTCAAGCACCGGGAAACCACTAAACGGGGCCCAATTGATTCAAATACAAACATGCAGACACATATTACTAAAAGAGGATGCGCATCCCTTTATCTATGAACATCATGAAGACGAGACACCTGAAAGCTGGTGTTAGAGGACCCCAGGGCGCACCCCTTAGGGCTGTTCTTTGGCACAGAGACACCTTCAGCCACTAGGGCTGCAAGGGCTTCAGTCTGCCAGCACAGACGCCACCCATCCAGCTGCAACAGCCGCATGAGCTGCTTCGAAGGCTCCTCTGAATCCAGCTCAGGTCTGTTCCACCCCATGCCAAGCTGGTGTTTGTGTGTGTCTGTCTGATCTTGCAATAGCAGCTAGGGCCATGCTTCCTTGCAGCTGAGCCCACACGGCCATGGAACACGCCCTTCACCAGGGGCTGCACCCATGACATCGCTCCTCCCCGTAAGCAGTGGCTGGAGAGGCAGTGGAAGAGCCGAGCAATGATGGCACGGCAAGAACAACGTAATCAGAACTTCCCTCTCTCGCTCGTGCGCACACACAATAACTATGTTAGTCGTGAAGTTGTGCCTGACCCATCGCGACCCCATGGGCAACACTCCTCCAGGCCTTCCTGTTCTCCACCATCCCCCGGAGTCCACTTAAGCTCAGTGGCTCCATCCAGCCACCTCATCCTCTGCCGTCCCCTTCTTCTCTTGCCGTCAATTGTTCCCAGCATCAGGCTCTTCTCCAGGGAGTCCTTCCTTCTCAATATCTATCTATCTATCTCCAAACTGGCCTCGATTTTTCAAGGTGGTTCTCTGAAGTAATTCAGGAGTAGCCCCAAAGGACTTCTTTGGTTCTCAAATGCATTTGGCCATGGCAAAAGAGCTACAACTGTTTTTTAAGGGGGCCAAGATCTAAAACTCATCCAGAGTGGAGTAAGATGAGCAGCTGCTGCTGAGAATTGGCGGGAGAAACTGTCAGGACATCTCCTGATAGCTTACGAGCTTATGCATTCCAGCACCTGACACAATGCTCTGGGGAACACTGCACACACTGTTACCTTTTCTAGGAAGCTGTCTTCTCCCTGAGACCACAGTAGGAAAGCAAGAGCAAAAAAAAGGGAGATACAAAACAAAGTACGTTACTGGCAGGGGACCGGAGGAGAGAAAGGGGAACCACCCCTGTGAGCTGGGCGGCAAGTGTCCAGACAGTGGAAAAATAACACACATTTAGTGGCCAAGCAAAGGGAAGTCTGGGTTAAAGGGCAGATGCAAACAGTGTCTGGGATGACTCAGTGGGGACGAAACGGCAGGCACCTGGCAAAGGTCTGGACAGCACACAGGAAAGCGGGAGCACAGCTGCAAAAGCTGACTTGGGGCAAGGGGCTGTACAGTGCAGGGCGGAGGGCAGGGACAAAGCAAGGTTCAAAGCCTGGAAGTTCAGCCCCCCTGCAGATCCCAGGGACTCCTCCCTGCTCCTTACCAGATCAATGAGCTTGGTGACAGGGACTTCGCGGATTGGCCGCTTCATCCGGCACAAGGCTTCCAAGGAGGTCCCAAAGCAGCTAGGCAGGTAGTTGCCGCTGATGGTGAGGAAGTAGTCCTTGCCCCGGTCCAGGTGAAGGACGAGGATATCCTCGATCTTGTCCTCACCTGAATTGAGCAGTGTTACTGAGTCCTTGCTGACGTACACGTCGAGGGATATGTCCACTGTCTCATCTGAAACAGGAGCACAAAAGCCTCTTTTGGAACCGCTTTAAGAATGGAGCTGCTGAATAATTCTAATAATCAAAAACAGATTTCTATCCCACCTCCAAAGCAACAGCTGCTCACAAACAAAGCATGAGGATACATCCCCCATCCACCCCGTAGGAGGAATTTGCCTAATTGATGCAGAGTCCGGAAGTTTCATTGTGGCCAAAATGGCTAATTTGGCTCTTCAGTGTTCTGGAAAATTAAGCTGAATGGCTAACCTCTCTTTTTATTGCATATCACTTGTTTTACTCACAACTATATTTCATAATCAATTTTAAAAAACCAATCAGTCACTGCTAGAGAACAGGTGAAGCCCTAGCCCAGTTTTATTGACCCAACTTGCAACAGCAATCCAGTGTCGTCAGGGGCCTCTCTTCTAAACTTTCTGAGATCTTTTAACTCAGGCATGAGTTACCTGCCATCTTCCAAGCCGCGCAGGACCGCATCCCCCAGCAACTCTGACTATGCTGGCCAATCTGACATCATCTGGAGGGTTGCAGGTCCCCCATTCCTGTTTAAACTAGAGATGCTGGACAGAGGCATTGCCGGTGCTCCTGCTTTTCTGACGGACTGCAACGCCGGCCCCTCACAGCATAGCCACAGGGGCCGGGAAACGGGGAGCGCTGCGGTCCAATACATAAGCAGGGCATCTGGGTGGCTGCTTTGGAGGGAGTCAGCAATGATGTAGGAGGAACGAGAGTAAACAGAAGGACAGCAGGGGAATGACAAAGAAGTAGATCAACAGTCTCGGGGACTCACTTGGCTCTACGTAGCCCTCACAGGGCTCGGCGCGAAGCCACGGCTTACAGTACTGGCTGTCGTTGAGCTTTGGGATGAAGGAGAAGTGGCAGGGGACCTGCCCGTTGTTTGTGATCTGGAACTTCTCCTTCTGCAGCTGCCGAAATTTCACCTTCTCAAATGAGAACTACGGACGAGAGGTGGGGAACAAAATAAAGGAGAGAGAGGCCTTCAGCGAGTGACAGGGACGAAGCCCAGGAGGCAGAGGCTGCCCCTTAAACCTGGGCTGTTTGTCTCCTCATGAGGAACTCTGATCTTTCTGGAGCTGTTTCATCTAGACAGCGGTGGGGGAAGATCCCGTTCCATCTTACCTCCCTCCTACTCAGCTCTAGGGAGGGAAGGAAGTCGTTCTCCATCCTGTCCATCATCCGTACAATATCCTCAAACACCTTCCGGTACCTCCTGTCATCCACCACTTTCACCTACGAGAAACAAAGATTGTATTTTGTGGCTTAGGCAGGAACAGGACTCCAAAAAAGGTGCGTGGCACAGATGACTTCCCCTCACCCAGGTCCCAGCTCTAAGAAAGAGGCACGCGACTTTCCAATGTTGTGCCCAGGAGCCTCTGGGAGCTGCCCAGTGGTGTCCAGGGCCCTCTGGGCAAAACCCAACTGCTCTGTGCTAAGTAGCGCACTTTACAGCCCACGAAAGTAGTCCACTTGATCTGGTCTGTCATGTCAGGAAGGGCAGCCGGTGCTAAAAGCTGGCCAGCCCAAAAGCTGTGTGCACTGCAGATGGGGGTGCGGTTGCTTGCTGGGAAGGCTCTCTCAACGTAAGGCCCACCGGGTTGCCAGGAAGTGGGCATTACAGTGGAAGATGGTCCTTACCCCGATGAAGAAGAGGGAACTGACAGGCTTGTGGTCGCTTGTTTTCAGTTCCATGTGGCTGCGATAGTGGAGCTGGTTGACATTGCCTCCTCTCCAGAGGATCCGGTCGCACCAGGCTGGTACACGGCACTTCCCACTGCAAGGAGACCGGAGGGATGCCAGGCCCATAGAGGCAGGAGTGGCACACAAGGTGCCCGCTTCCCTTGCATCACGTGGTCTCAGGTACCCCATGTCCCGTGCTCACGGGACTCGTCTTCTCTGAGTCACCTTCCAGGCCAGGTCTTACCCAACCAGGTGCTCTCCTGGTGTGCTGGGCTGCAGGCTGGCTGGGAATGATGGGAGCGGCAGTCTACCACACGTGCAGGGCACCTGGCTGGGTAAGGCTGACCTGGACGGCGCACAGATGCTTGGCCTTGTGATCAGAGCTGGAGCTGGGGGGGATGCAGACGATGAGCGAATGGCAGGTCTGATGGCAGTCATCTAGCCCAGTGCTACTGGCACTGACCGGCAGAGGACTTTCCTGCTGCTCATGCCTCGATCTCTTTTTAAACTTGAGACTGCTAGGTTTGAGCCTGGGGCTCCCTGCGAGCAGAGCATGAGCCCCGCTGCTGAGCATTAATTCCTTCCTGAAGCAGCAGTCCTCGTCCATTTCTCTCAGCCTCTGTGCCCTTGATGCGCCAGGAAGTGCAGCTCCCACGCCTCAGAAAGTGTCCTGTGGGCTTTTTGCTCCACCAACTGCAGTTCTGATTCTATTTACGCAGAGCCACACAACAGAAAGGCTGGTGTGTGAAGCAGCCCAAGCGATTCTAGAGGGACCAGGCAGCGGGTAGATCACAGTGGCTTATCATAGCCTCCCAGGTTACAATTGTCCCAGCTGACCATGGTGACAAGAAATTCCATGCAGGTGAGGAGTCTGCTGGAGGGATGGATCTCTCCATTCATCCTCCATTCATTCTCTTGCTTTCTGTCCTTCCTCCACCAGTTTGCTTGGTAGAAGTATTTTTTTACCAGTCTGTGAAGAAATAGGATACTAGCCTTTGAGCAGGTGCATAAAGGAGATTTTGCAGGTAGTAAATTTTATGGACTTATTTACAAGACTGAATAATCGGGTGGATGCTTACCTAGAATCCCAACGGTCTGTTTTGGAGTCATATTTGTAAGTCGGGATGAATTTGATCTCTCCTTCTGTGAAATCGGCAAAAGCTGCCTTTTGGGTACGCTGAATATTCAGCTAGAGGCAAAAAGTAACAGCACATCAACTCATGAGCCTCTGCTGCCAGACACACAATGCACCTCCAGGTACCGCCGGACACCATGGCAAAGTCTAAGCTGTATCACATAACCTTGAAAGTGGCCTTCCTCAAGCTGGTGCCCTCCAGATGTTGCTGGATAGCAACCCCCAACCTCCTGGGTCATGAGCCATGCTGGCTGGGCCTAATGGGAGCTGGAGTCCAAACAGGAACAATTAGCCACTCCAGTATCCCATTCTTGGTAGGTTTACATGTAACAATAAACGGCTTGCAGCTTGAATATTCAAAATGGTGGCTCCTACCATCACAGCAAGAAGCCCTGCGGGGAAATTCACCCACAGTGGCTTTTTGTTACAGGCGAACCAGGCAATCCTCTCAAATCTACTATGAAGTGTTGTACTCAGAGCACTTGTTTCACCAGAGGAATCAACCTTGTTCTTTGTCTTCCAGCAGCAACAAGCAGAGAACAAGATCAAATGCATCTTTGAACAGCACCCCGCCCCCCCCTCAATCATCTTGGGAAATAAAACTGAAAATAAAGGCAGCCTGGCACATAAGACAGACAGAAGTACCTGCTGGCAACAGGAACATGCAAGTAATGCAGATTCTCCAAATTATTGTGAATTCTAGGTGCCTGCTGTGCTTGAAAGGCGATAGCTGCAGTGGAATCCTTTGCATCTCCACTCAAGAAGTCAGTTCCACTGAGCTAAATGGGGCTTACTCCTAATCAACAGCGCGCAGGATGGTAAACTTGAAAAACATTTCTCTATGTTGCTACCATCCCAGCTAGCTTGCTTAATAACTGCTTATATAATATAAAGCAAAGCAGTAACTCCCTTACCTGGTCATACGTCAACAGTTTCTGAAGCTCATTTTTACTGATAAGAGTTTTCACATCATTGGCATCGGGAAGGCAAAGCCTGTAGTTCAAATCTCCCAACCAGATGACAACACTGTAGGGGACAGGAAAGAGCAAAGAAAACACAGCTACTGGCAAGCTCAGGCAAAAAAGCCAGGTGCTATTGTCTCCAAGAGGAGAGGCAACCTGAGGCCTTTCAGATGTCTGTACTCTTAACTCCTAAAATCGCCGTCTGCTGGCAATGCTGCAGGTGCTTATGGAAGCTGTAGTCCAAAATATCCAGAACGCCTCAGATCGCCTAAAATCTGGCTGACAAAGTGAAGTAGAACTAGGAAACAAGACCAGGCTTCATCACCTGTTGTGCTCCCAGTACACCTCCAAATATGATTTAGAGCATTCGTTTTAACCCGGAAGACCTTTCAAATCCTGTTGATTTATTACATTTAGGCAGCACTTCACATGACTGAAAGAAGTCCCCGAGCTGTGTACAAAGACTGAAGGCAGAGCCCTAGAAGGACCACCTGTCTCTCCGTGTGCCTGGGCACGAGCTAAAATCGCCAGTGGAGGCTCCTTCCTTGCTTTACCTGCCGCGTGGGGGTGTGAGCTGTCCTTCAGCTTTGGGATGCTTGCCAAGGGAAGCTCACTTGGTACTGACCCGCTGATGTCACTTTGATGTAAAGGCTTATTTCATCTGAAACTTTGAATCTCATCTGAACTCTTATCTGCTCATTTTACACCATTATAGTTCTTTCATTTCTGATACTAACCAATAGCCCAAAGGCTCTCCGGGTGGTTTTCCTTAGTTCTGCTGCTTTTAGTGTATTAATTTTTTTTCAAAATGTATTTTTGACTTTTAAGGCATCCCAGGAATATATATGAAGGGCATTGGAAGAAATATCCAAAATTAGTTAATGGCACTTTTCCGTGCATATTCAGTCAGAAATAAAGTTCCACAGCTCCCAGTGTTGCTGGCTGGGGAATGCTTTCTCTGTCTCAACATCCACAGAATTATATCCTTAATAAATAAAGAGTGATCTTATGTGTGACTTGCCTCCCACAACTCTTGAGGATGTGCCTGCTCAGGAGAGTGTTGTCAAAGACACAATGACCACATTTGTGGCTGCTCTGCTTGAAAACTGCAGTGCACACGCGAGCTTCTTGAGCACACAGTGGCCAACCAGGCAGGATGCGAGTGTGACCAGCTCTCCTACCCACGCTTCCCAGCAACTGGTGCACACAGGCATCCTGCCTCCGGTACCAAAGAGCCATCAGGATGAGTAGCTCTTAAGACTTGTCCAAATTCTTTACCAGCTTTTGTCCAAATCCACCCCCCACTTTAAAGTTGTCCAAACTGGTGGCCATTGCCGCATCTTGTGGAAGTCTGTTCCATGACACTTTAGTTCTCTGTTTCACAGCTCATATACAGAAGGAGGCTGCAAAGACCAGTCTTGTTTTGTCTGTCCAGATGAGAGACCCAAGAATGCCACCCAAGCTAGCTAAGGCTCCCTGCCTGCACCCCACACCGAAATGGGAGAGCAACGCACTCGTGTTTCATGACTGTCATCTGCAGTGGACCTTGGTCAGGGAGCAGGAAGCTCATCCGGGCACAGATGTCCTTGTAATCCTGGTTGCGGCGCTCAAAGTCTTCCACGTGGGCAGCGAGATGAGAGTTGACAATGCAGAAGCTAGTGTTATGGAAGTCAAACCTGACGGCCACGCCGCCCTTGTTACCCTGCAAGGCCAAACAGAAGCCTGCCGTCAGGTGGGCGAGTAGGAAAAGGAGAAGGAAAACGGGTCAGTGGAGGTGATGGGGGATGCACAGACGGAACAAAGGGGCTCATCTAGGCCCAACTCACCATCTTGCCCATGATACCTGTGCCCACCGTCTCTGCCACCACGTTTTTAATAGAGTTGAGCTGGTCCTTCCTGACGAAGATAAGCAACATCATGCCAACCAGACGCACCAGCTGTACCTGTGAGGTGCAGAGAGACCCGGATTGCTGCTCACTTTTGCACGCAAGCCCTGCTTGGTTGCTCTGCCTGGGTGGGGAAGCGGGTGGACGTGGATGAGGTGCAGGACTTACTTTCTTGTACTTGGCTTTGGAATGTAGCGCTTTCTCCACGGCTGTCAGCCACTCTTGCTCCTTGGTTGATTCAAAGTAGAAGAAAGCCTCTGTGCTCAGGTCCAGCTCCTGGAACCTAAAGCCGACGTTGTTCAGATGCCACACCCTTCCCTTGCGATCTCCCCGCGCATGCACGCCTCAGACCCCCGAGGCCCTTGGCTATGCTTGTGCTGCTGCAGCCCACGAGATGAAAGATTTGCCCTTGTCACGGCAGAAGGGAGTGTCCTGGCTAAGCAGGAAGGGGAGAAACATCCAGAGGTACAAATCATCCCCCCACCCCAGCTAATGATTGGGCAAACCGTACTCTGGTTTCGCTACGGTTGCAGCAACAGCTGCTGGCAATAAGAGGCAGCAGCTGGTTCATGCAGGCCAGCAAGGAAGAGTTTCCCCGTGAGGCTTTTCATTGCCGCAACCACCCTTTTGCATATTTGAGCTTGGTGGGGAGGATTGCTGGTCATCCAGCCCAGCAACGAGCCTTCACCAGATCTGCATGTCACGTGCTAAGGTGTAGCTCTTTCCTGCCACAAACAGTTGACATGGCGGCCGTCTCTGGGATGAGAAGCCGCATGGGAGGGTCACATATGGTGGCTTCTTGTGAACAAGGGAAAGGAGGACTCTGCAAGCGGATTGCCTGGGACACTGCCATGCCTCACCCAATGCAGTAGATATCGGGGGGTTCAGGGTCACAGGTCAGCCAGGGTTCCAATCCACTGTCTGGAGATTGCCCATTCACGTTCCACGTGCCCACAAAAAACCTGCCATACAGAGAAGGGCAGTAAGCTGCAGGAACAAGACTGGCCTCTGCACAGAGATGACGGTTAAAAGGGAGACGCCCTGGGCAAAGACATACGGCTCCCACAGCAAAAGCAGTACCAAGCCGTTATCTAGTTTTTGCTCATCTTCGCTATTTTGAGCCTTAAACTGCATCTCTTTCAAACAAGAGAGCAATAAAACAAATGACCAGTGTCTCCAAGAAAGGCAGCAAACCCCTGCAAAACAAAACCTGTGAGTGTCGCAGGGCGGAGGAGTGTTGCACAGATGACCTGCATCATGCCCATGCTTCAGGTGGGCACACTCCTGCCTCCACCACTAGTTTGCCCGAGGACTTCTGTCCTCCTTTCCAGTTGTGTGCAGCTTGTCATGACATCTGAAACTGAGGTTCACCTTGTAGAGACAAGTCAATCACTGCATGAGATAGGAAGCTGGCTTGTTTCAACAAGTAACAGTTTAGGGTTTGGACAGCACACTAAAGTGCAATTAATTTAAAGCAGGCATGGGCAAACGGTGGTCCTCCGGATAGTTTAGCTTCTCTCTGTCATCAGCCCTGGCCAACACAGGAAACAGTGAAAGATCAAGGAATTGTAGGCCAAAGCATCTGGGTGACCACAAGCTGCATCACTGATTTAAGGCGAAAGCGGGATCTTCCTTTCTCCCTGAAACTGCACAGGAGTGGAAGGGAAGTATGTGAGCCCAGACTCATTGAGGTGCTGAACTGCAGGCCCAAGAAACAATTCTGGCCTGCCTGACATCCCAGACCAGCCTTTCAGGGTTTCTTAGCAGATTAAATCCCCCTTCCCTCTGACCATTAGCTTTTTTCAAACACTCTAAAAGGCTGAAATGCTTCTCCTAAGACCTAGTTACCGGCACTAAGAGTTTTAAGTTAAACTATGTTGGCATATCTGGCCCTAGCCCAATGTCTTTAGTTGCAGCTTGGCCCTGGCCTGGGCCACCGGGAAGGTGGCTCCTGAGAGCTTCTCTCAAGTGGAATTTGGCCCTCAGGCTGAAAAAAGTTTAACATCCCTGTGGCTAAACCATGATTTAGTGTTACATGCAATTGGAGCAGTATCTGGCAGTAAGACAAACACAAAAGAAGCCCACAACCGATAAATGAAGTGACCCACCAACGCCCCCAGTGAACAAGACAGACTTTGCTCGGTGCCTAAGAACAAAGCAGGCAGGGGAATCTCACTTGCCCTGACTCCAGCACGGCTTCCCCTTGGCATTTTCTGAGCTGGTAGTGCTGGAAGATGAAGGCCTCCACTTACAGAGGACGGAGCTATTTGAAAGGTGGGGCAAATGGCAGAAGAAAACTCCAGCTGGGACTCTCACCTGAAATTCTGGATGTTGACGTATTCCTTCTCCCTTTTGGCAAGGATGTGTTTGATGAGTCCCTCCCTCTGAACACTCTGCGTGTGAGTGGAAGGCACGAAGAACCTGCGCATGGTGTTGCTTACTTCGGGCTGGTCCTTGCCGAGGCTTCCCTTCTCGCGGGGACCCCTACAGGAGGTGAGAGCAGAACTCAAGAAGCCTTACATTGCAGCGCTGGGAGGGCAGGTACCACATCTCCAAGGCAACTTACGTCCTATTTGGGATTACAGGAGGGGGCGGGGGGGCCCCGGTGGGCACTCATTTGCTGATTGTGCAGGTTTCGTTTCTTCTCCACACTCATGGCATTGAAGTTATCCTCAAATCCTAGAACTCCTAAGGCAAGAAAAGTTTCCAAGGTTAGTTTTACAGGAAAAAGCTAGAACCTTCTGGGGAAAAAAATATCGCCAAAACAGAGAGGGCAAATGCTTGAGGGAAAAAACAACAGAGAAATTCAGGGGAGGGGAAAGTCCCCTTTCTGAGGAGTTGCAATTTTGGGGAACATTGGAAAACAAGTCTTATGATTTTATAAAAAATAAATGCTTTTAAAGCAAGGCTCTATTTAGTCAAAATACTGTAAGATGAAGATTTTTATGCAATTACGATTTAAATAAAACATTAGAGAATAAGGTCTATGGAGCAAGAGTCCTTGCTTGCTAAAAAGATGGCACGCTTTTCAAAGCTAAAAATGCGTCAAGTAGCTGTGGTACGATACCTGCAGAAACGTTTTCCGGAGGCCCTGACAAACCTTTCACCTGGTGCCAGGAGGCATGATCCACAAGATCGGGGAAAGATCCTTTGGATGAGACTATAAGGGAAAAAGGCAGGGCAGGGGAGAGAAAGAACATCCAGATCAGACACTGAACGCCTCCAGTGCCAGCAGACAAGGCCAGGTAGCAGTGGTTACCTTTCTGAACTCTCAGCATCTCAGCAAGGAAGTCTGAGCACAGGTCCTCATCCATGGTCTCAAAGAGGCGTTCTGATGTCCAGTCCCCTTGGACCCGGAACTTGCAGCCAGCTTTAAGCCCACATAAGAAAAGCACCAGTTCAGGAAACATGGCATAACATGATAAGCAAAACAGTCAAAATGGTTAAACTCCTCTGACTTTAAAAGGAGAGACTTGTGGATCACAAAGGAAACATGCACAAGCTTCTGTAACGTTCGAGCTGTTTCAGTGTTTACACAACTGCATGACTGCAATGATATTCTTTGTGCATACAAAGAAACAAGCAGAATATTTTTGCCCTGACAGTCTTGTAAGGAACGTACACCACAATGGAAAAGGATACCTGCATAAAGGGACATGGTTAGACTGAACTGAAATTTGAGTGGACTCTGAGCCTGAGACATAGAGCGACCACACCTAGAGTCACATGACATTGGGAAAACGATCCGCTTGCAGGAAAGATCTGAGGCACTTTGAACAGCACTTGTTTTGAATCAAATGAAAAAGAAAGCTTTTTTTTAAAGAGACACATACAACAGGAAACCCCAGCCTGTTTAACAGAAACAAACAAATGGAGATTGCTTGATGGAAGAGAAAGATTCTGTGTAGCTTAAAGTAAAATACCTGAAGTCTTTGCTAGGCCTGGAGGCACCACGATATTCACTGGCTTGATTTGTGCAAACATTTTGCTATACATACAGCCTGACTGCACTGCAAATGATCAAATCAGGACCCGCTTATTGATCACAGTTTCCCATGTCATTCAAATGGGGAAACTACCGTTACCAGCGTCAGAGCAGGACAGGATATTAAACCAAGTTTAATCTCAGTCTTCAAGAATCCCTGACCACCAGCCGAACTGGATATGATGTACAGGAAGAGCAGTCCAAACTCCTGGGTGGCACCAGGCTTTCTTGCTTTAATCCTGATCCCCTACTAAAAGGGAACTTCGAGAACACGTGTTCTCCTTCTCCCTATTTCACACTTAAATGTTAGACTGTAAGACTGTTACACTAGTTTTGCAACGGGTAAAGCACAGTGCCGACTGACGGAGCACTGACAAAGCCTTTTAGCGGCAGCCTCGCTGGGAACAACCACCCAGAGGTCAGGGAGAAGAGATGAGCCGGAACAAGGTGGATGAGTCAAGTGGGAAAGACGACACATCAGTGCCAGGCAGCATCTCTTTCTGACAAAACTCTGCCAGGGGAGACTCACTGTTTGTTGCTATGTCAATCAGGAGAGTTTCTTCAGCCTCTGGAAGAGAAGATAAAAGAATAAATCAGGAAATCAAGAGTGTCAGGACAGCTGAAAGGCCCATAAGTGAATCATTTCACCTGGTCTAGTTACATCTCTCCCACCTCTGAATTTGCTGTGGGAACACTAGCAAAATCTCCTGGATTTCTGCTGTCCCCACCACAAACTCAACAGTGCTATGGTTGGTATGTGGCCTCCGGTGAGTTCCAGCAAGGGCAAAGTAGCCACCAGCGCTTAGAAGTTGCCCAGCCCTGTACTAAACAGTCAGAAAAGGAGGCTGCAAAATTACTCTTCAGTTTATTAGCATATTTATAGCCTGACTTTTTTCATCTTGCAAGAAAGCCAAGGTGGCTTACACGCTTCCCCTCCTTTCCATTTTATCCTCCCAAGAACAGCCACATGAGGGAGGTTAGGCTGAGAGTCTGTGTCCGGCCTAAAGCCACTCACAGTAAGCTTCACGCCTGGGTGCATCCTCAAAGCCCAGTCTCCAGAGCTCCAGCCCGTCGCCCTAACCACGACACCACAGCGGCTTTTCATGCACTTGTGTGTGCCAATAGGAGGTTGCCCTGGGATCTACCCCTCTGCCCGAGTGCCAGCTTTGGTGATGGGGGTAGTTCCTATTTTTGGCTTTGGAGGTGAGCCACTGGCCTTGCAAACTGGCCATTACAAGGAAACCACCAAATGAACCTCATGGAGGATGGGATGAAAAGGCTGGATACCTTGCACCCATTTGAAACGGCTGTTGATGGGAATGTTCTCTTGAACAGGAGGTTCCTTCTCCAAGGAAAGGATAACCAAGCTGAAACAAAAGGCACGGCATGGAGCAATACATTCACTGAGGGATATGGGAGAAAATCTGTTGGTTTCTAAGGCGAGGCAAAAATAATCCTGCAAATATTCAAAATTGGTGTTGCCCTATGACTTTTGGCCAAACCCTTAAGCTCTCTTCAGTGCACTTTCTGCAGTTGTTTCTAACACAGCACATCAAGCATAGAACAGTGGGATGGACTAGATGACCTCTACAATCCCTTCTGACTGTGATTCTAGGAACCTAGCTACTTTAGTTGTTCAGTAATGAAGCCATCGGTTCTGAATAGGGAAGATTTATGTTCAAATCCCTGCTCAGCCACAAATCTCACACAGTTCCCATGGAAACACAATTTGTACTGCACATCTTATGGACTTACTTGGGAGTAAGCTCTACGGAATCTAGCAGTTCTGGCTTCTGAACAAGCACACCTAGAATTGGGCTGACAGCTTAACGGAATTCCAACAGGATAAAATGACCAGCCGCTTTTATAGTACACAGTACAGTACGTATTTGTGTTCGCAGGCAGGCTTATTAAGAGAAGCTGCTGAACAAGGCCCATGGCTGTACAAGATCCGAGCCAAAGATTTGCCATGTCCAGAACTACCATGTTCTCCTTCACAGTTTCCAAAGGATAAGGATATATTATAATCCTAGAACTAGGGCAGGGAAGAATTAACCCAAACAGCACAATCCAAGAAGGCACTTTTGCTTTTATCACAAATCGCAGCTTCCAAAGGGCACAACAGATTCAGGCGTATGTTGTGGCCAGCTTTCCTCTGGAGGGCAGTGTAGCTTCTGATTCTGTGAAGGGTGTGTGTGTAATTGACCACTATTTGGTCACTGGACAAGCAAGGACCTGCAGACAATATGCAGCTGGACCTACAGAGAGATGTCCAAGAGGAAGGCTCTGTTGGCCAAATTTCCCCAGATCAGACCCAGGAGATATGAGAAGAATCATGGCAGGAGGTTTTCTCCCCGGGGCCAACAAATACAAGTGACTGCACATGTATATGGGGGCATAAAGATTCATAAACTGATAGCAACTCACTCATAGTCCCCGCCACTACGCTGGGCCAAGCTCAGTTCACAGGGCACTCGCCGGCCTGCAGTCACCTCCAGGGCCTGAGGGTTAGCTAAGGAAATGTGGGGGAATAAGCGAGAACCAAGTCCTGTCCTCAAAAAGCCACACAAAGTAAACAAACAAAACAAACTACATGCCTCCAGGCACTCACTTGCTCAGCATCAGGTTAACCTTCATCAAGCAGGTTCATTCTGCCTAAAGCCCCAAAGATTCAGCTGCAATGTCTCTTCCAGGCGTTCCATCTCCTCTAGGAACGAACTCTCCCTCCCACCCCTGACACAAACATCGCAATTCAATTTCTGAAAAGAGAGGTTAAAGGAAGGGAGTACAGATTGAAGCCTGCCGGGAGGCTAAAACTTCTGGATTGGTTGGAAAGGAAGCCCTTCCCATAGTTCAGATCTGTAATGGGGAGCAAGTCATGGGTACTCAGTGGCAAACCATTGTGTACATACAATATGATTTCTCACCTTCATAAAAAATTAACAGCCATTTCCCGGATTGCGCCTCAACACCATTTGCAAAAACAGATCCACAACCTGGCCAGGGAAATGGGCAGAGTCCCATCTAATCCGCTTCTGTACTTGTAACCAAGGTCTGACATACAGAAATCAGAAAACACGTTCATGTAAGCCCTGCTTTTCTGGGGGAGGCCAGAGGTCTACCTAATCTAACATCCCTTTTCCAACAGTGGCCCATCCTGATGTTTCCGAGAAGCTGACAAGCAGGAAAAGGATGCAAAACGCTTCCTTGTTGGATGCCACTGGCTGCCCTGGGCTCAGGGCTTCTAGTCCACTACAGCAGTCATCAAACCCAAAAGTGGCCTGAGAGCGCTATGGAGAGGCTGCAAATCCCAAGCACACAGCAAATCCCAAGCACATTGAAGGAGAAGAGATATACCCCTAAGTAAACACAGCAGATTGTTATTGTAAAAGCATCGGATGTTGTGGCTCTTGTTTATCTTCCCCCGAGAGCAACACGCTCAACCTGCTCCTTGCAGCAGAGCGACTGGCTGTGTTCGGAGCCGCCTTCCCCAGGCGGGCGCCCTCCAAGCATCTCCATGCCGGCAGCATCTCGTGGGGCAGTCGAAGTCCAGCATACCCGAGGGGCACGCCATCGGGAGGGCGGCTCTACCGGCATCGGTGGCAGGAAGAAGCTGTCAAGCTGCGGGACCCGGCTCCGTGCGCCCTCCCCGTCGCCCCAACTGCCCCCGCCCCACACCCTGCGCCCCACTCCTTGTCCTGCCCCGCATCTGTCCTCGGATCCGTTGCCTGCGGGAGGCGCGCGGTGGAGGCGCCCCCGGCCACGCGCCGTCCGCGCCCCTCTCCCGCGTCCCCCGAGGTGCCTCCCGCGGCCACCCCGTCGCCCAACGCAGCCCCGGCCAGCAAGCCCCGTCGGAGCCGCGCCCGGAAGGATACGGAGAGGCCCCTCTTCCTCGCGGGCGCGGGGCGCGGGGGGGCGATCCATCGGCGCGGGCGGGCTCGGCGGCGGGGATCGGCGGGGGCCGCGTCGCTCGCTCCGTCCGGGCCGCGCTGCCCTCACTCCCGGCGACCTCCGGCCTTGCTCATTGGCGGCAGGGCGAGCGAGGCGGCGCGGGCGCAGCCCAGAGCGGCCACGTTTCCGACGCCCGGAGGCCGGGCGCGGCCCCTGCCGGTCGGAGGCTGCTATTGTTTCTGCTTCTTGCAACGGAGGAGAGTTCTTAATTCTGAACGGGCGCCCTTCCTGGCTAGGAAGTGAATAGCACCGGTAGGTCTTACTCTCACGGAAAGTACGGGAAAAGGCAAAGCCGCATTCAGAACAGCAAGCTGCAATTCTGCTGTCACGAACCCGATAGGGCTTACTACAGGACTGCGCCTTTAATGATTTAAATGGGAGGAAGGCTCTCTGCAGTTATCGCCGCTTTTCTAATCAAGCTGAAATTGGCTCCTCGTACCCGTTTCCTTAATACACTCACAGATTTCTCTCTCTCAATGCAAATTGTTGCTAATTACTGTGGGTGCTCCTTGGGCAAGAATGCTGGGATATAATTATTTAATAGGTGAATGTAATGAGGAACTGAAAACGAGAAATCAGGTTCAAGCTCATCACTTTCCCAAATAAGCAACCACAGAGCATCTGTATCGCCCCCAAATTGATTAGTTAATTGCTAGACTCCCTTAATTACTAACTGCTAGCTATCCATCTTAAAAAATCCTTAACTATGGGTTAAAGGTCTTTATAACAATCCTGAATTACCTTACTGAAAATCCCAAATTATGAATGCCTAGCAATTGACAAGAATTTGATTTTTTAAAGGGTGCAACCTTATGCTGGCTTAGACAAAAGCCCTTCAACTGCCTGCCTGCCCGCCCAGCCAGCCAATGCCTTCCTTAAGCATGGATAGGGGTACATTATAAAGAGCGGGTATGGGGAAGCAATTGAAAATGGGGATTTGCAGGATGATAAGAGGGCATTAAACCTTTGTGGCATGCTGTGAGCCAGTAAAAGCTTTCCCTCCAAGGCAAATAGCAGGGTTAGGGTTAAGTGATCTTCACTTTCCCATTCTCTCTCTTTTTAAAACTCAGCGGGCTCCCCAACATCTAGCAATGGGGTTTTAAAGGGGAAGGAAGGAGGCTGGAGGAGGTTCGGGTAAATTGTACCCTGGTCTCAAGTCCTGAGACAGCTCGAGGGCTCCCTCTGTTGGCCAAGGGCGGGCGGAGCAGCTCTGGTGGTTGCAGGATTCTGACCCCCGTCCACTGCAGCTACCAGGGCTCTCTTGAGTTCCACCTGGGGAGCCCGGGGGAGGAGCTATGTAAGAACCAGCTCTTCCCTTCAGAAACTTCTTCTATAGCAAAGGTCTCGTGTTGTTGCTGAAGCCCTCCCTGGTCTGTTAGACCTGGAACTCTCCTCCTGTGTCCTGCCTGCAGCTCTTCTGTCCCTGCCTGGTCTGCCTGCCTCGGTTCGCCGATCTTGGCTCGCTTCGGACTACGCTACCCATCTCTACGGACTTGGTTGTGTACTGACTTCTGGCTTGTGCTTTGGACTGCATATTGGACTTGTCCCGCCCTGCCTGCCTGCCTGCCTGCGTCCTGGTGCCGTTACCCTGCGAGGCAGCCCCCTCCCCTCCCCTCCCCTCCCGGCGGGTTTTCCCTCTCTCCGAGGCCGATTGTCTGCCCCCCAGAGGCCGGCTGATGTGTCGCGTGTTTTGTTCCACACCAACTGTGAGCGGTTGCAGAGCGGGGTAGACCTCTGGCTCCCCCTTCCTTCCAAGGTTGGGGTGCTCTGTCTGACCCCAGGAGGGGGACTTCCCATCATCGTATGCCCCTGAGACACTCTCAGTGGTGTATAGGATTGTTCCCTTATTTTATTTGCATCCTGCCTTTTTAATGAGGGGACAGACTCCAAGTGTCCACCAAGATTATTTAAAATGCAGTAAAATAATAAGCTGAAGAATAAAAATAATTATAAAAACAGCACCCAAACCAGCAGGCCCACTCGGGCTAAAGACCTTGAGTAAAGCGGTCTTTTCCTGCTGGAGGAAGGACGGTGGACAGGAAGTTTGAACAAGGTCCTTGAGTACGTTGCCTCCAAATCATGTCTCTGAAAGTGGCAGTCTCAATGAACAACCAAACCTCTCTCCAAAATATTTAGGGACTGGCAAATATGGGAGAGGGCGGAACTGTAGGTAGTGTAGTCCCAAGCTTATAGGCTCCACTTGGAGGGAGCACATGGGCAAAATCAGGTGAGTTCCACCTTGCCTGGCACTTTCATTGGCACCAAAAAGCCACGGGGTGACTCTCAGTTTGACTGGAGTGGCCAGAGGGGTTGGTTCTGAGTGGGGTGGATTGGTGCCCTTTCTCTGATCCCCCCCCCCAATTCTAAGTCTCCATTGGGAAAGCTGCTACTCATTCCATAGAAGAAACATGCAGATTGGGGGCCAGGTGTCCTTTTTGAAAGAGGACAGTGTTGGGAAGCCTTGATGGCAGCTGCAGCAAGGATAATCGGGTTCAGTCAGGAAAGGCCCCTCTTGCCCTGCACCTCAGTGCTTTTATTGTAAGTAACTGCAGGGGTCTTGCATGATCTTTCAACTGGGTAGTGGTTCTCACCACCAACTACAAGCTTTTAGAACATGTTCTGAGTGGTTTATAGATTCTGAGCCGCATGGGCCCAGCAGTTGGGCAGTTGATGCTGAAATAAGGGGATCACAGTCAGAAGAAGGGGAGAGGTCTGCAGAGGGGGCTCAACACAGTGGCATTTGATTGCAGGAGATCAACATGACCATCACTGAGAAAACAGGTACTGCTGTGGGTCTTGGCATGCAATTGAGGGTGACTGCAATGCTGTTAACCTGGTGGCATTATGGGTTGTTGCTGATCAACAAAAACAATGGCCCTGGCAGCTTCTTGGGGAAGCCATCCAGTCACATTTCTTAAAATAACAGCAAATGCTAAACAGTGACCTAACTTGGAATTTTTGGGTGCTTCCTGAGAAAGGGGTGCAGGTATTTCATAACAAAGGCACATAAGCAACCCTTTTCTGCCAGGATTTATCTGAATTTTTCCAACAACAATACTCTGCTTGAAAGGGTGTCCAGTCTGAGCCTGGCTTAGAGAGAAAGAAACATTGAGAGGGAAAGCTACTGGGCCATGAAGTTACACCTCTGCAGGATCTGGGTAGCAGAATGAACAGACACACAGGGCACCAGGGGCTTTTCTGTACGAGTCTCTAAATTGCTGCATCTATTTCAGTTGCATGGCAGAACTGAGAGCCAAACTTTATGGGAAGGACATTCCTGTTTTTCTGCTACATAACCTCTAGGTGGCACTATGATACAGCAGAATAGTGCAACTACTCAAGAGGAAATTGCACTTTCCCTTTTATAATATGCTGCATTTTTTCCTGCTCTAAAGAAACCTCACTGAAAGTGCTGGTTAGAAAAAGTAGCAAAACAGGAGAGTCATGATGTTGTCTTAAGTCCCCATAAGCAATTTTGATTAAGGAATGATAGTGCAAGATAACTGTCTCCATTTAGAAAAGCCTCAAGCCTTCCACACCATGCAGATGTACTGTATTTCTATTTAGTTTGTAATTATTTTTAGATTTGCATCAATGCATACAGCTTAGAATGGGTAAACTGTTTTTTTTCTTTTTGGAGGCTCATAAGAATCTATATGAACACCATACTGTTCATATAGTGATAGTGGGAAATGATTTTTTCCTTTCCCTTTTTTAAAAAAGTGAAATGCAGTCTCAGGAGACAGCCTTTCTGATTTTCTTTTAGAAATGGGAAAGCAGCCTGGCTGAGACCAATATTGGTCACAAAAATAGTCCATGGTGAAGAAAGGGTAAATCATCTTTCCTTCCATCGCCACTGTAGAAATAAAAATCTCATCTATCCATGGTACCTGCATTTTACTTAAAGTAATAATGTAGAAATTGCTCACAGATCTCCCAGCATTATGCGACGTTTGAGGCTGCCTGTCTCTCCGGCTTTCATGTCTGCAGTTACCAAAAAGAGCAAATTGCTGAAATGTTGAATTCTGATTGCACATGGACTGGCATGCCATGCAAAGGTGCTCCTGACTTGTAGAGTTGTAATGCTTTCCTCCTTTGCTTCCCCCCCCCCACCTTATGGGAGGTACAATTTATGCCTGGAGAAACCTCCAGAGGTGGCTGCCAGAGTTAACATTTTTAATTTCCTGTTTAATTAGAGCTGGTGAGGGGTAAAGCAGGCACTGCATCACCAGTGGCAGCCCTGCTGTAAATTTCAGCTTAATCCACTCGCTCCAGCGACCCTGGAGATTAGGGCTCCATGAATATGCATGAGGTGCCTTTATGTTCCATCAAGCGGGAGAAGCTCGCTCTGCTGCATGCAGTTCTCATCTAAGTACTATAAAGGCCTG